CGATCCCTATGTTTTTGTGTTGCGTCGCGCTTGTGGGCATGTTGAGGTTGTTGGATATATCTTTTCAGGGGATGGTTGCGGCGGAGGAGGGAGAAGAGAGTAATGAGTGTGGAGGAGATGGAGATACAAGAATATGTATTCCTTCTTAAATGAGTAGATTTGACAAAGTTGATAGGAAATATATGCTGATTTCAGATTTTTGTATTAAAAGTTTGAGTGATGATTGATATATAGAACTGGCGATAAAGATACTTTATTTTGGTATGGCATTTGTGCTAGGATATATACTTAGATACCTACAGTTGTATGTTACTGTATTGGATCTGAGAGTTTAAACTTTTGTGTTTTTTGTTAAGAATGTATATTAAACTAACATTAGTTCTTAATATGTTGGCTCATTACTAGAGCATTAGTTTGCTCATTATTTTATAAGCACTTGAATTATGGAAGGTCAGTTCTAAAATTTTCTAGGCAATAGTTGGGACTTTGAGAGTTGACGTTTGCAATCTGCTAATTATTACAGAATATCAAATCCTTGATACCAAGAGTAGCCCATGCACCAAATTAGGCCAGTTCTGACTTTTTAACTCCGTGGAGTCCATGGGCCTTCAAGAACCACTTCCTATAAGCAAATAGTTAAATGTAAATTAATTAATTTATAAAGACAATACAAATAAGTATTCTTATAACTACTAGTTTTTATACACGTGCATTACACGTTGTTAAATATCATATTTATTTATTTTTAGTTTATTTTCCTTACTAAAATTTATTTTTTTTATTTCAATTTGATAGTTTTTACTCACTTATGTCTCTAATATTTAATATTGTGATTATTTATCTTCTTTAATGTTTGTTTGAATGGGCTATACCTAAAATTTTTTTACCCTACGAATATTACTAACATCACAGAATAATATTTATAAAATATAATTAATTAATGCTAAGCTATTATATTACTATCTTTTATCAATTTTAAGTGATTTAGTTTTCTATCAATTAATGCTACCTCTGTATTTTTGATATTCCAACTTATGAGTAAATTATATGCAATTACTTTTACTTAGACAATGATATTAAGTTTTAATCTATCTATATATTTTTAAATTTCATTATTTTTTTGTAATTTTGAACTTTTGAGGGTCTTTCTACAATTTTTAAAATTAAGGGTGTTAATTGCAAATTTAAAATTTTAGGGGGCTACTACTAATTTCTAGATTTTATGTTCGTTGTTTTAAGTTTTGAAAAGTCAAGGTGTTTTGTGTAATTTTGAACTATTGAGGGTGTTTTGTGTAATTTTTGAACTTTTTAGTTTTTTGACAGTAATTCATGTATTATAGTATGTTAGCTACTTATTATTTCTTTACCTTTTTATTATCATTTAAACTCATTGGTGTTTACATGATATTATCTTTCTCTATTATACCTGAGACTTAATTGATGCGACAAAGAGTTTTTTATGGTGGGAAAGGGGAATCTATGTTCCAGTTTGATGGTAATCCCTAGAATTCATCTATGTTGTTCGCAAGTTTTGAGGGTGTTTTTTTATAATTTAAAATTTTGAGGGTGTTTCTATAATTTTTTAAAATATTGAGGGTGTTAATTATAAATTTTAAATTCTTCGGAGGATACAGTTAATTTCCAAATTTCATGTTTATTATTTTAAGTTTTGATATGTGATGGTGTTTGTAATTTTAAATATTTGAGAGTATTTTGTGCATTTTTCTAAAACTTTTTTGGGTTTTTTATTATTGTTGTAATATTTCATGTAACTTTATCTTATTTTTTTAAATTATTGAGCTATAGTTAATTCACGCGGGATTAATATAGGATATAATTATGATTATGATAGATTAAGATTTAAATAAAATATCTAAAAAAATAAAGAATAATATTAATCAGGTTTTCCTAAACTCGTGTTTTTTAAAAAAGTATATGATATGATAAAAGGATGGATTTTATTATACGGAAGTTTTTGTACACTTTCAACAAAGGCAATACGTCATGCTGTGTTTGTAAAAGGAGCTTGATTTTTCTCTTGTACAGCTGGTTTCTGCAAGAGGTGATTGAACCATAAAGCATAAAGATGCACATGTGACGTCATCAGTTAATTCTAGTAGTTAAGTATAGTCATAATGTAGCGGATTAGTAATCCATCAGTAACTCTCATCATTCTACAAGGCTGACCTTTGAATCCATGAGTTACGTATCAAAAATCAGAGAGGATTTAGATAATTATATTGCGGGGGAGTAATTTTAAAATAACTTAAGAATTAAGGAATCTAATAGCAGTTTCAATGATTTGAGTGACTAATTAAAATATGAAAGACCTAAGGGACTAATATGGGGAAAAAAAACTTTGTAATTTCTTAAATTAGGCATTTGTACATTCATATATGTTTAGTAGTTGCACTGAAAAAGATTGAATGCAGACTATATCATGGCCTTTATATCCATATACATGTCCCCTTATAAACCATAGATGCATATACGAACCACGTTATGTTTTAGCCAAAAAAAAACATACTTATGTCCACCAAAATCAAATGCTAATGCCAATCAAATGAGAGAAAAATAGATTCAAATACATATTAGCTATGAATGTCTGAGATCATAGTTTAGCAATGCGTTCATATCTTCAGACTTAAATATATATATATAGATCCGTGAATTACAAAAATTGATTTTAGATCTATTTATTTCATGCTAAAATAGTTTTAACAATCTGGTCAATATAGATATCTAGATATTCGCATCCGGATTCTGATATACCTATATTCATATTCATATATATTCTTATTCTATATAAATTTAAAATGATACGTGTATCAATATTTATATCCTTCTGGATATGGATATTAAATATCATATGATATCCATATGTGTATCATATAGACTATTACTGCTGATATATTTGCAGATATCCATATCCTTCTTAATCCCTTAATCACAATTAGAAAAAGAATTATGAATTTTTTTTTCTTAAGCTGATGCAAACTACTTTAATTAACTCAGCATGTCACCATGCTGCTGAAAGAAAGAGAATGATCAATCTAATATATTCAACATTCAGAACCACGAGTCATTCTCCATGACAACTAAGAATTTAGTAGAAGCATCCAGGTGAAAGTATGCCCCCATTTTTGGAACAGTCATTCTCCATGACAACTAAGAATTTAGTAGAAGCATCCAGGTGAAAGTATGCCCCCATTTTTGGAACTTCAACTTGCATCTATCAACCTCCCTTTAGTAGAAGCATCCAGGTGAAAGTATGCCCCCATTTTTGGAACTTCAACTTGCATCTATCAACCTCCCCCAAATGCCCCTTCTGAATGCCAGCTCACAACTTTACACAAAAACCCTTATTTTCTCCCCCAAAAGCACGACTTAATGTAGACCACAAAAGCCCCTCTTCATTTCTCTCCACTTGCTAGAATGTTTCCAAAGATAACTACATTCCACTAGCTAGGAGAAAATAATTGAGCTTAATAACTTTTCTTTATTTAAGTTTTGTGAGTTTGTGGAGCTATCATGAATTATACAATACATGTTACAGTTCCGATGGATTATAAAATATATGTTACAACTATAAAATGAAAAAAAATGAGCAGGCCTGTGAGTATTTGATCCTTAAAGAACTAAGGTTTATACTCATTAATATGGAAAATTTCTCTTTTAAAAACTAAGATTGTTCCTTATTAGTAGTTTCAATGCATTTTAATTCAAGAAGGTGCTGTAAATCATGTCCTTGATTGTTCTCCTTTGTTTCTATCTCCAACATTGATTTAATTTCTTAATAGGAATCCTTTTTGACCAATTTCATCAGTTATGGAGTTTGAATATCAAAAAAAAAAAAAATTTGTGCAATTTGATTGACTATGTCAGTTGTTTTTCTTCAACTCTCTCATGGCAATCTCAATTGTTTCAACTCTTTATCCTTTAATATATAGCTGAGCTTCTCAAAAATCAAAGACCTCACAAAAGCAATTTAGGGAAGAAAACCATGTAATAGGAGGAATAAATATTGCTAATTATTTGGAGGTTTCATTTTATTTGTTATTGTATTCTTTTTCTCTACTAAGTATTAAACTGCGTTATATTTCATTTTTTTCTTTTACGAACCTTGAGCATATAAACTGATATATATGCCATAACTTTATATTCTTTTGCCATAATATTGAACCATTCTTATTCATACTTTTTATGTGCATTCAAAGGAGGCAGAGCATACTTACAAGTGAGTATTACATTTTAAATCTCTAATTATATGATTATCTATCAGCTCTATTTGTGGTTTGGCATGAGATCCAATTTGTTACATTTAAAATATATATGCTATTTTCCTCTTTATGTTCTTGCAAGCATCAAGTTCTCCATCAAGTATTTGCTAGCAATGTTGCAAGAATGGCAAATGCAGGTGAAAATTGAGAAATTTTGGTTTGAATGAGATCATATTTCATTTTTAAACTCAATTTAATATTTTAGATTAGAGGCACTAACAATGCATCTCTCTTTAATTCTTAATTTTATATTTAAACAAAAACTTGGATTTGACCTCCTCCTTTCAGTCTTCTTATTCGTTATTGTATTCATGCGTTGTCAAGAACTATGACTCGTCTTTCTTCCCATAAGACAAGTATATTTTAAATGTAAGCAACACTCGACTCTTCTCCTTTCCATATGATTGTTCGTTATTAGCATCAGAAATTAAACTTTGCAAGAATGTAAAAACATTTACAAACAGAGATAAATTCATGTTCAGTACATAGTGGTTATGGAGCTATTAATTTTCTTTTAGTAATATTTGGCATCGTTTGGTAATTTCAACACATCTACCTCTTTGTGGCTCACATTCAAAGTTTCAGAGTATATTTCTCGCTCACAATAGTGAGGAGATTATGCATCTGACATGCTGACAAGCACATGCACCCCACCTACATGCATAGAGTTAGTATCTTGAAATAGTTTTTCAGGATATCAAAACAAAGGCATAGAACTATTATATTCAATGAATGTTTCTTCTTTTTTGTGGTAATCACTGTTTGATACTTCTTCTCAGAATTAGACTGCCAGTTTCTAGAACTTATGAAAAAGACCCTATTGGCAATTTAATCTTACAAGGATATTGGGGAAAAGAATCTCAAGGCTAGAAA